CACAAGAAAGCACGAGGACTGCTAGTATCACTCTAGAGCGTGCAGTGCAGCCCAGAGAAACCTCACCTAGGTGAACATCTGGCATTAGAGACACCTTTAAAAATCAGCAGCTGTACAGTGCAGGTGCATTTCATCAGGGTAAGAGCTGGTTCCTCCCGTTGGCAATGGGGCTGTTGATGCCAAAGCAGTTGTGTGACACCTATAATAAATTCTGGCTTGTGCTATCAGAAAAACCCAAATCAGAGGCGAGTGACTCATCTTGTGCCAAGTCCAGAGATTATTATTGCTGCAGCAAAGTCATGCGTTTGCCTGGGGCCAAGGCTGTGTTAGCAGTGTCACAACCCACCTCCACATTCAGGGGCTTGCAGTTCATCCAGCATGGAGGATGAGGAGGGCCCTCCTTGGCTGTCTTTCTTGTCCTTTCAAAAGAATCTGCTTGTTTGGCAATGCAGAGGTATAGATGAAATCAGTGGAGCATTAAAGAGACAGGAGGCTTCAGCTCCCACCTGAACCTCTCCTCCCCTCCTCACCTGCCATCTGATAATTTCAAGCAAATGAATCAAACTCTAGGAGGAGTTGTATAGAGAATATTTTTAAGAGCCCAATCCAAAGCCTACCAGCCTTGGATGAGAAGGGAAGGAGCTGAATGATGCTTGTGCTTTAAGGACCTGCAGAAATTACATTGACATCAGGGGCACTGCAGAAAACCCTGTCTGTGCTCCAAAGGCTCCTACAAGCTTCTCTGGGACCCAAGGCTGGTTCTGACCATCCCTCTTGCCTCCACACTAAGAAGAACTAAGCTGAAGACATGGGGAGCCTCCAGAGTCTGGGGCAGGTGCCTCACCAAAACCAACTATTCAACAAACACCTCCACTTCAAATGGCCATCAGCGGGGGTCTCTCTACACTGCTGAGTGTCTCAGTTTGCCAACAGTAGTCTTCTGCAAACCAGCAGCTCCCAACCAAGCCACCTTGGCTGGTGTTGTTCTGAGCTAGAAGCAGGCCTGGGAGTGAAGCTGGACCACAAGCAAAATCTTTGGGCAGCTCTTCCATCCCCCAAGGTTGGCTCCAGCACAGACCACAGAGCCAACGCTAAACTGTGCATTCAGCTGGACCTCCCTTCTGGCTACAGCCCTCCCACTTGCCCACTTTGTCCCACCACACTTGTTGTATAACTGCTCTGATATATGCAACCATTTCCCAGCCCCACTTGTGGCACCACCGATTTCCAGCAACCCAGCCACCCACTCCATGTCCTCACTGAGCAAAGCCAAGCTCTTGAAGACACCAAGGCACCCACCTGATGCACTAAAACATCACCGTCATCATTCTGACAGCGTTGCCTTGAATTTCTCAAGTTCATTATGTTGAGGAGGGAGAAGAGAGACAGTGAAACCGATTGCCACTGTAGAAAGTCAGCGTTTCCCAACCTGTGGGTTGGTTAGCACAACAAAAGGCCACGGGACCTCCCCAGCAGCCTTCTCAATCCATCAAGTGGACAACCCATCCACAAAGCTCTTCCTGAGCACTGCCAGAGCTGAGGTACTCGCACTCTGAGCAGCAGCCTTGCTCAGCCATCCCTCCTCCTCCCAGCCAGCCAGGACCTCTGTGTTTTATCCATTACTTAACATAACTTGTTCCACTGTCACACACTGCATGGGCACAGTACCATTAAGAGAAAAACAAGAGGAGAAGGTCCTTCACAGGCTGCTATTGCACAAAACCCTGTTGATCCCCAGCTGGTTGGGTCTTGCTGGTACATCTGCTCTGTTCTGCAGTACCACTGGCAGCTCCTCTTTTCCAGCATTACCTCAGGTCTCTCTTTAAGGCTACAGTTGCGTGCAAGGACTCAGCCAGCCCAGCTACCGTCCTTTCTGCTCCAAGACAAACTCCTTCATGCAAAGAGGTCAATGCCCTTTGCCACTGCTTATCCCCCATGCCTCCCTGGCTGGACCATTTCAAGAACATCTTGCAGCTGCCTATGTAGTCTTGTTCCCAGCCTGCTTGGTGCTGTACTTAAAAGACAAGCCTTGCTGGAGATGATGGTCTTAAGCAAACTGAAATGGAGGAGAAATCATTCCACCCTGCAACCCCCATCACACCTTGCCAGGAACAAATCATCAGAGAGCCCAAGGGACAATATTTCCTGATTCTCAAAACTGCAAGACAGCTAGCAACACACAGCTGCATTGTTACACCTCCCAACCACCTCCAAGCTCCAAGAGACTTAGGAACAAGAAGGAAGTAGGGAGAGATCAGTCTGGAAGGAACACTTTTTCTTAGTTTGGCCTAATCACCTGTTAGGGAAGAATTTTGGGTAGGGGCACCTGGACTTAACAGCGAAGCTACCAGTCAGTGCTTGTAAAAGACATGGGGCTGCTTTTAGCAAGGCAAAATTCTCCTGGTCATAGTTTCAGGAATGAAAAGGGAGAGATGCAAGAACTGGAGACCCCAACACAAGAAAGACATGGACCTGTTAGAACAAGTCCAGAGGAGGCCACAAGGATGATCTGAGGGCTGGAGCACCTCTGCTGTGAGGACAGGCTGAGAGAGTTGGGGCTGTTCAGCCTGGAGAAGAGAAGGCTCTGGGGAGATCTCACAGCCGCCTTCCAGTACCTGAAGGGGCTCCAGGAAGGCTGGGGAGGGACTTTTTATAAGGGCAGTTAATGACAAAACAAGGGGAAATGGGTTTAAACTAAAAGAGTGGAGGTTTAGATGAGATATTAGGAAGAAGTTCTTCACTGTGAGGGTGGTCAGACACTGGAACAGGTTGCCCAAAGAAGCTGTGGCTGCTCCGCCCTGGAAGTGTTCAAGGCCAGGCTGGATGAGGCTTTGAGCAACCTGGTCTAGTGGAAGGTGTCCCTGCTGATGGCAGGGGGGTTGGAACTGGATGAGCTTTAAGGTCCCTTCCAACCCAAACCATAATAACTGTAGAGCCCTGGCTGGGAAAGCCTGTCCTAGAGGGATTAGGGTATGAAGACTCCCCAACATGTTGAAGGACCAGGCTTTACTGTGCCTCTCTCAACCTGCCTCCCATGTGCTCAGCAGGATGAACGTGCAAGGGACCATGCACAGCTCTTCGACTGGAAGACTAGCATCAGTAGCAGCATTTTGAATACAGGTTGTCCTGCCTGTCTTTCTCCAGATGACTCAGTAGATGTGTGTGTAAGGCCTACAGAAAGTACTGGGCTCTGAAGAGCACTGCTTGTTTAGAGCTGAACATCATGTCTGATGACTTAATGTCCAGAGGAGACCCTGACCCTCTCAAGAGAGAACTGAGCTTCAAGGTCGTCTTCCAAATGTCCTCTCTACCTTGCAGACCCACTCACGTGCCCACAAGATGTTTGCTTACCATCATCTACATCTACTCTTCACAATCTGACAGGCCTTTTCACGTCTACAAGGAATGAAATCCTGCATGTGCCCCTCCTCAAACTCTCTCTTCCACTTCTTTGAAGATTCAGTGGGATTTAATCTCAGTAGATGTGCATTCTGGCCTTATTTGTCTAATCACATCTCCTCTGGCAACGGTCGTTGTTCCACGTACGAAGGATGATTCCCCACAGAACAATGATTCCCACCTCAGAAACATGGATGTTTTGCATAAATGTCAGATTGAAGTCACTTCACAACCAAAAGCAGAGATAAAGTAACGCAGCCCTTTTTCTAGCTATTTAGACAGCATTTCTGTGCAAAACAACATTAGTTTCTCCTGCTCGGTTCCAGTAACATCTCACTTGCCTCCCCCTGCAACCCAGTGCCTGCAGCCCAGGCAGCACAGCAGCTTGCCCTCACCCCATGCCACCCTTGGGCTTCACCTCCACAACCCTCTGCAGACATGTGTCCTACAGCTTCACCTTTTCCCCCATGGCCAAGGGTTCCCAGTGTGACTATTTCACTTCCCCATAGCACACATCTCTCCATCTGTGGCTAACGCTGCTTTCCAACTATTAGCCACAAATCCCTCAACATCGACAGCCACCCATTTTGCAAACTTTGGTGCCTTTCTTCATTCAGTGGTCTGGAGACAAGAGCCATCCAAGAACCCCCAAATATGCTGCTGTTTGCACAGCTTTCAGGGGCTGAAAATGCAATTTCCAGTGGGGTAAGGAGACAGATTCTCCGCTTTCATCTCTGTGTGAATGCAGCCATGTGAAAGAGATGTAACTAGTGTCCTTCAAACAGGAGGCAGAAGCTGAAGAAACCCCCAACCTGCCTCTTCTCTTACCTACTTGCACACTGAACAAAAGCTAAGAGCTCCATGCAGGACTATCCACCGGTAGGTGAGCGCTGGTATTTATTGTGCTGTAACAGACAGTGCTGGTTGAAAATGGACTGGGGTTTTTGTTGTGAATCAAGTGCTGAGGCCATTCCTGTGTGTCTCCAAGAAGCGTGGAGCAGAGCTGAAGGAAGAAAGAAGGGGTGAGAGTCGGGGAACCGAGTGCAGAAATGTGCTTCAAACTGTATCAACAACACTGTACATGGGCATTTCTCAGGTGGCGAGGGACACAGTTCATGTGTATAACTCATTAATTAAGCAGAGCAGCTAATCTTAGCACTAATGAACTCTAGCTCAGGTAATGTAACATTTAAAATTAACAAATTGGACAGAAGTCATTCACAGTAAAAGATTTCCATTCCCAGGTTAGGTGAGAGCTATTGTTACGATTAGATTACTGCCAGCCAGGACCAAAACAGTACACCAGGATAATAGGAAAATAATCATCCGTATACATCAGCTCCAGCTGAAACAAGACGCGCTGTGGATCTGAACGAGGCGCCGGGTGTGAAGGTGAAATCTCACTACGGTATCAAAACAAACATCACTGCGTGGTACACGTAGAGCAGAGCATGCTGTTTCGCCGGGGTGGTACCGACCACAGCTCGGTGGCTCGGGGCGGCGGAGAGCAGCGATGCAGCAGAAAGTCGCTTGTTCTTTTTTTTTCTCCCCCTCCTTTCTTTTTAAAGTCACGGGTTATCACGAGGGCACTGCAGTTCGATTCAAAATTCATCTTCAGAGCTGTCAGCTAAAAGCATGACTCGGTCTTGCATGCTGTTAAATTCCCTCTGCTAGGGGAAGAAAAGAAACATGAAAGAGCTCCACATGTAAAAAGGAAATGAAGAGTGTTCGGATCTCCCCCATACTCTAACCAAGAGGTCCTGGGCACTTCAACCCAGACAACCAGAGAGTTGTCAACCCAAGCAACTCTCCCAAAATGGTTAACAGGAGAGTGGGTGGGAGTGGGGTTTTCCTTTGCAGTTGTCTTACCTTTCTTTTATGTCTCTTTGAGCCATTTCTCCTTCGGCGATTCATAATCTTAATGCTGTAGAGTGCTCCTAGGATAAAGAGGGCTCCAGCTATCCCAACTCCTACAGGAACCAGCATCCCCGACATGTATCCTGCCTACATGGAAAAGAGACAGGCAGAGCAGCATTCACAAAACCATTCTTTCAGAGTTATTTTCCACCAGCCTGGGACTGCGATACATCCCTGCACTGCCTTGTATTTGAGTCCCTATCACCCGCCTGCATAGGATGAGCTTTGCTTCAAGCAAGTCCCCCCACCAGCCTCACTCCAGGACCAACTGGTAACCCTCACAGCTCACTCACCATCAGCTTTAGCTAACAGATACTGCACTGTGATAGCTGAGACATTGCAGGGTTTGCCTGCCTTTGGGAGAGGAAATAATCTTGGTGCAGAGTTGCAAGTGCTGGGGTGAAGCGTCTGTTAATACAGGTGCACGTGTAAAGGAAAAGCTTGACCACCAAGGGCAGGCAATCTCGAGCTACAAGAACGACCTGTGACCACCCAAACAGCTTTACTACCTGCTGTGTAAAGTAGGCAGAGTGCTGCTCCAAGCTCCCTGGGTACTGACAGCATAAATCAAGGCATGGGAATATGTCTGGCCATGCTCAACAGAACTCAATCCAGAGAGCTGAGAGCTGACGTTAAAGGTTTTTGGCATAAATCTGGACTAGCAGAGTGGTGCCAAGGCACGTGGCATCCCACAGTCCTCCAGAACATCCCACAGCCCTTGGGGTGGCAGGAGCAGGCAGAGGGGAGCACAGTGAAGGCAGAAGGACCAGTGTCAAAGAGCCACCTGGCAAGACAGCAGGCACCAGCCGGGGAGAGGGTGGAACAGGTGAGGAGCTCTTTTCGGAGAGAGGCTGTGCTGGGAAGCAGAGGTGCTGACCTCCATCGTAGGAAGTGGATGGGAAAGAGACCCAACATCCTCCTGGCCAGCTCTTATTGCTGGAGTGTGCCTTACTGTGCCCAAACTACTAAATATATTTCCACTAAAGAGTATTACACAGCTCCCAGGCTTCCCAGAGACACGTGGGCATGGGAAAGCAAGTGCCCTGGGACACTAGTGCCATGTCGCAGCACAGGGACAGCAGAAGCTGCCCTCAGCACCTCCAGCTGGGTCTCTGAAGGAGCTGAAGTGCAAAGCCACTTTTGCAGGAAGAATCACACAGAATCACAGAATGGTGGGGTTGGAAGGGACCTCAGGAGATCATCCAGTCCAACCCCCCTGCCAAAGCAGGTTCCCTACAACAGGAAAGCGTCCAGGTGGATTTCGAACATCTCCAGAGATGGAGACTCCACACCCTCTCTGGGCAGCCTGTCCCAGGGCTCCGGCACCCTCACAGTAAATAAGTTTTTCCTTAAGTTTGTCTGGAACTTCCAGTGTTCCAGTTTGTGTCCATTGCCCCCTTGTCCTGTCACTGGGCACCACCGAAAAGAGCCTGACCCCATTGAGAAGAACCAGTCTGGCCTCTCCCTTCCCAGCCCAGCCTGAGCCTCCTCAGCTTTGTACTCAAAATCTTTGAACTCAACACTTTTGCTTTGCATGGGAAAGGGTCACTTCCTCGAGCAGGGAAATGACACACAGGGAGGGCACACACACCTTCAGCTGGCCTCAAGGGAAGCACAGCAAATGTAAACCAGCTCTAATTCCATTGCTATGATCCACACGTTTGCATTGCCCGTTAAAAAAATATAGATAGCATGACTAATTTGAAAGGACACATTTAAACATTTCAAATCCTTCAGAAACTGTTCCTGACTACTTGTTATTTTAGATTTTACTGCTTGAACTGAAAATTAACTTAAGTTTTAAAGTGTCAGATTGCTTCAGCATCCTTTTCAGCATCCTTACCTAATTCAGGCTGGGGGGCTCAATGGAGTAAGGGAGGCAGGTACCACCTGGCTCGCTCCCTCAGCACTGCCTGCATTCACCCTACAGCAACAGTGATTGCTCCATCTACACCCCCCAAAATAGATTTTACACCTGCCAAGGGACACAAGCACAATTCAGAGGACGATCAGACAGCTCTTAGCAAGCTTCAGTCCGTTGCTTACAACCACTCATCTTCATCTGCATTCCCAAACTGCAACACAGCTTAACAACCCATGTTTACACTGTAATTGCTTTTCTTCCATAATCCACTGAGTGAGGGGAAAAAAAAATACTTATTCAGTGAGCACTGCCCTGGCTTCCCACGCTTACCTGGAGAATGAAAATCACTGCTTTCATCTAGGACAGATACAATCCTAACAAGGGTTGTTTTACTCTCCCAAACTCCTCCAAATCCTGCTCGGTGCTTTAAATAGTAACACCTTTGTGCCTGGATCCCAAGGTTTGAGGGATCCTGAATGGCCTCCCAGAAAACCCACTCAGCACCCCGTGCTGGGAGGGGGGTTGTGTGCCTGCACCCCAGCTCCTGAAATAGGAGCTTAGTGAGAACACAGCTAAAAGACTATCTCTGCAAGGCAATCAAGGTGCCTTAATTGGGTGACCTAATTAGTGCAGCATGGGTTTTTCTATTTCTGGAACTTTGCTGCTGGCATGGGTGGTGAGGGGAGATTGGAAATCATTTTTTAGCTGCTGCCCAGCTGAGTTTCTGTATCAGAAATCCCTGGTTCTAATACAGTGAACTCTCTAGCCCACCTGTGAGCCTTCACCATGCCTGGCCAGCCCATGTCCTTTTACAGGCTTCTCACAACAGCTGGACCAACTATTTCTACTCCAAAAATCTGCAATGTGAAGCAGATTCAGGACCTGTTCTCCTAGCCCTTCTGTGTCCCACAGCCCAGCTTCTGGGGGCTTCTGCTCTGGATAGGAAACCCTATTTCACAGGCAGCTCCAAAGCCACATTTTTACCCTTTGCCCATGACAAAGATGCAGCTTCTTTACAGATGCTCAGGATGCTGTTAATACACCTAATCCATGACCATAACCTTCCTGGCTCCACTGGACTCTGAGATAACAGCAACAGAGGACTTCAGAGGAACCTCATGTCCATTATTCCACATACCAATGCAACATATGCACAGTGTTTGCAGGAGACCAGACATAAATCTGTAACTGACCCATGCTCCTGGTCCCACGCTCCCCACACCCTTCTCTCTCCCAGCAGGGCAGCCCTGATGGACACAGGAGGACACATTTCTCAGGAATGTGTCCGTCGTGCCAGGATACTCTTTTGGATGGTGGCATTGTAAAATAGAGAGGACAGGTCTCTGCCAACAGCAAATGAGAGGGACAGATATTATGACTGGTGCTGATAAATTCAACAAGTGAGAGTAGGAAACGGGGAGAGCAGGTTTATTTGGGAGTAATTTGCTTCACCAGCATTTGGTTGGGGGTGTGAGAGTGGTTTTTGTTGGGCTTTTCTAAGGGAAAATGTGAGCACGGTGAAAGATCTGCCTCCACACATTTGCCATTCCCCACAGAAGGGAGATGGCTCAGGGCTGAGTCTTTCAGGTGGTTGCCAGCAGATTCCCAGTTATACCAACGCTTGTGCTGGGCACCTGCAAGAGGTTCAGACCCTACAGAGCAACTCTGTTGGAGACTGGAACATGCATCCTCCTCTACAACAGGGAAGGGCAGAGGTAGCCAACAAGGTGCCAAGAGGAAAGAAGTGAAAGCTACAGCTTTGGTGAGAAGATGCCCCTGAGCTCGTGTTGTGGTGGCTGGGGTAGGTCTGGCATGAGCAGGTGACCTGTGCATGCTACATTCACTCCAGGCACTCCATCAGTCTTGGTGTCTGCTTTTTACCTTCGTTGGGAAAACCATTTTCTGTCCTTTCAGCATTCGCTCTGTCTGAATCCCAGGCCAAGGTGCTCTGCTATGAGCATAGATCACACTAGACAAGCCTCCTTCCTATTGTAGGCAGAGAAGCAACTCAACAAGGGCTGGGCAGGAACCCACCTTAAACCCTTCCAGTCCCCAGTGCCAAAAAACAGATACCCAGACCCCATCTCTCTGTTCAGACTTGATGGTAAGGTGCTGCTGAAGTTTGGTGGGGATCACGTAGGAAGGCTGGGCTCATTGGGTGACAATCTGCTCAAGCTTAGAGATGTATTTTCAGGGGCTGAAGTTTCCTATGGAGTCATTATTCCTCATGGTGGGTTTTTTTGTCTATTAACTGTGATCCTGTTCAAGAATTTCCAAGCCCTGTTGAGTCACAAAATGTTCTTGTCTTAAGACACTACTGTCACCTCATCTCTAGCTTCATGGTTTTGCCGTCATCAACACAACATTTCAAAAGTTTCACAACCATTTAAAAATGTTAATATTTTCCTTAGGGCAGCAGAGCCTAAAAAGCCATCACTGCCTGCAGCTGGCATAACCCTTCACTCCATGTACCACCACTATGTAACACCAGAGAGAAAAGATCAGGGTCTGTTATCTTTTCAATCTTCCTGTGTTTGGTCTTTTTCTTTCCAGGAATTTGCAGCTCTTCTTGCATGTGGAGGCAGGAAAGGTCTCATCCAGAGGCGGTGGTGTGGCACACAGCCTCTCACCAGAGAGGATCACCACCAGATCCTCTTGATTTGGATCTAGAACCAAGCTTAGAACTTAGAGAAAAGGGGTGGAGGTAAATTAGAGGGTAATTTTAAAAAGTAACTTGGGTAGTCTGAAGAGAAGGTGAGTTTCTAGTACAGACAAATCTATCAAATACCATTGCCCCAGGGTCTGCTCTTAATTACTACTCATCAGGGATATACTGTGGATTTACACCACTATATACAACAGCAGCATTTGGTTCATTGCCTCCCAGAGAAAATTCTAAGCCCCTTCTCAGTTGTCTTTGTAGAGATAATGAACTGCACTAACAAGATTTATTCCTGCAAGTAAAAATGTTTTTGCTTTTAAAGTAATTGAAACACTGAGCCTCCTACCTTATCTTTCAGCTTCTCCATCCAGCTTCTCACTGAAAAATAAGACAAAAAAGCTGTAATCATGTTACTTATGTTATATTAATTAGTAATGAATGATAATGATAGTATTAAAATAGACACTAATTAATTTGACAAGCTGATAACACTTTTCATTAGATTTCCTCTCTTCTCATTCATGAAAAAGAGCAAATGCAGCAAATCAACAAGATAAACTCTTCAAGCGAGTTGGCAGGCAAGAAGCTCACTTTGCCTGTGCAAGTCACATCTTCAGAATGACTAAAAGAGGAAGATAAACAACAATTATTTCAGGTTGTGGGTTTTTAACTGGCACTTCTCATACCCACACTGAGATGTCTCACAAGGAGCAAACCTTACAGCATGGCTACACCCTTCCATTGGCCTCCTCCATGTAGATATTCTTCCCTCTATTTGGCAATAACCATGTCCAGAAAAGTATTATCCCCTGTCTTTTATTCTCCTGCTTTTCTGGCAGCAAACTGCCCACTCTGGGAAGTCACGAGATAACACGTGAGGACTGGGATAGCACTGGAGGTGCTAAATTACTAAACCAAGTAAATTTATACTGCCATCACAGAGACTTTCATTTCCTAACAGTTAATTTAAGTCCCATGAAATATGATAGCCAAGAATTAAAAGTCTTTAATGGCATGTACTTTGGGATGAAATACTCAGCTAAGCTCAAAGGACTGCAAATGCTTAGCAGTGGGTGCACAACTCATTAACTCCACAGGCGACCGGATTTGTCCGCACCGCACCAACGACAAAGTGCCCGGCCTTTGAGATAGCCACTATATTTTAATGAATTCCTGCTCAGAGGGAAGAGGCAAGCAAACAGGTAAATGTTGGGGTTTTTTTCAGGGTCTGGCAACTGTATTTTAAGCCCTGGTCAAGGATCTCTGTTCTCCAGGAGGCACAAGAGAACTTTCAGATGCACCAATATCCATCTGAAGAATATTTCTGCCAGGATACATTAGATCCCAGATGTAACACACCGTTTATGGAGTGAGATCCTATTTCCAAGCATGCTTTCTCACAGAAGCTCCTTTCAAAGCTTGCTTTAGCAGTATGAGAGCCTGCCTATCCACCTGAGAGCCTTACTGTGAGTGGGGAGGGAGGAGCAGCAGGGCCATCAGTAAAATGGCTTTTTTATGTCTCTGATACAATACAGAGAAGCACGGCAGCTGGGAAGTAATAAGACTCAGCCCAGATGTCAGCATTACTGAATTAAACTGCATTGTTTTAACAAGAGCAAAGCAATTTGGATACTCCTTTTTTATCTGTTGGTAACATAAAAGTTTCCAAACAGAAGGATCACAAATTACCTAGAGCTGAAAAAGTGTGAAACAGGCACAGACACATCCACACAAACTCATTTGTCTCTGACAGGTAGCTAAGAAAAAAAAAATGAGTTATCCAGGAGACAGACACCCACAGCACTAGAAGAGGACAAGCGGTCTACTTTTATCAACTTTACCCACCATTAGTCCTAACCTGCATGGACTAAGCCATAGTAAACTCAATTTATGAAGCTGTCATCACCATCATCCTCTGCTAGTCCAAGCCTGCATGCCTTGAAGGTCACTCCCAGTAGAACACCAGAGAGGAAGGAAACACATGGTTCCCCTGAGCTAGGTTATTCATCTGGGTTTCTAGAAGCACCAATAAAACAAACACTGGGTGTAAACATCACCTAGACTTTCAAGGAGAACCCTTATGATGCTGCCTTGCTAACAGGCATGGGAGAGACCAAACATTGGGAAAATTACCTTGAAAACACAAATACTGCAAACCAAAGGAATTCATCCCAAAATTCTTGCCAAAGAGCCTTCTCATGACTCTCATGTTTAACAATACTATCATGTTTACTCCAGCCTTCTCATGACTCTCATGTTTAATGATGTTATTGTGTTTTATTCCAGCCTTCTCATGACTCTCATGTTTAATGATGCTATTGTGTTTTATTCCAGGCTCCCAGGAGGAGTGGTGACTGTGACTCACAGTTACACAGTAACAGCCACAGCTTCAAAAATCACAGTGCACATGTTGAAGCTTTGGACTGATGTCCTCCTCCGTGCACATCCAGACAGCTACACGCATATACATAGTGCGTGCACGCAGCCGGTTAAAGCCGCTGTGTTGCTCTGTTGGCTCAAATGCAAGCGAAGCACAAAGCCTATTTTTACGTATCTTTCACAATAATTATATGGGATCAGTGATCTCATCAATAGTTGACCCATTTTCTTGCAGCTGAACAACAATGGTGCCTCTAAAGCAGCAATGAACTCCGGAGTATTTCTGACAAGTCACAGACAGGGGCTGATCTAATAATATCCTACAACCTACTTCCAATGAACACAAAGTTTGTCTTCGTTCCCCTCTGCTCCGCAAAACAACAGCAGCAGGTCCACTGGGATCCCCAGACACTACAGTACAAATCTTTGTTTGCTATTTATACAATCCCTTATTATTAAAACCGACTTTGTTTCCAGCCATGTAGAGCACATGTCAGATGCCTTCGTGAATCAGCCTAAGCCATCGAAAAAACAACAAAGCATCACACAGAATTGCCTGGACTGGAAAAGCCCCTTAAGATCATCGAGTCCAACCATGAACCCAACACTGACAAGTCCCCGACTAACCCATGTCCCTCAGCACTATGTCTACACAACTCTTCAATCCCTCCAGGGATGGGGACTCCACCACTGCCCTGGGCAACCCCTTCCAATGCCTCAGAACCCTTTCAGCAAAGAAATTCTTCCTCACATCCAACCTCACACAATGTGATTTCTCCTCTAGACTGGACACCTCTTTGAGAGATGCTCTAACACAGCCACAAGGTAGATGGGTGAAAGCCCCTGACCTTTGCTAGAGGAAAATAATGGTCCTAAATCTGGGAGGTCAAAAACCTGGCTGACCCTTCAACATCCTGGCAGCACAGCACCAGCGTGCAGCAGCGGCAGGTCCAGCTCTCCCAGGCAGCAGCAGAGAGTCTGGAGGTCCTGGAGCTCCTGGCTCTGCAGCTGGCTAAGCTGGGGCCATGACAAGTCAAGGAGCACCAGATTACCGTGAATGACAAACACTTTTACTGTCATTAATGGACAAAACTGCTTTAATATCATTGAGGAAATGACAAGCCATTGTGTCATTAAAACGGAGTGCTTACTGCTCTGATTATTTACCCATGTGCAGACACTATGGGATGTGGGTAGGAGAGAAAGCACTTTCTCAAGTTAGAATTGATATCTATGTTAAATGGCTACCATCAATTAATTCTGAACTTCAGACTCTAATTACTCATCATTATCCATAATTAATATTCTGAACTTGGTCTTGGAAGAGGAAGATTGTGGACGGCACCTTCTCATAAAAACGTAACGCTCTCTGAAAACACTAGGTGACTTGCTAATGAGGCCAGGCAAATAATTAGTAACAAATACACCCATCCATGTATCTTTCCTCATCCCCTTTTTTTTCCCCTTCCCTTATCACTGAATGTTCTGAAACAAATGGCAACAGTCTCTGGGAGTGAAATTACTGACAAGTGTCTGCAGCGCCATCTCCTCTTCGGTCGCATTTTAAGGACAGTAACTGCTCCAAACTCTCTGCCTCGGCTTAATTTTGATCCCTTGGTTTCACGGTAAGCCAAGTTAGATCACCGTGGAGCACTTCTGAAAATTACATACATAATCTGACATTTCCTCAGTGATTTATATAAAGTCTGCATCTCTGCAAATTAATTTTAAATAACAGATAGCTTAAGTTTAAGCAGGTCAGGAGCAGGGAGGAGGAGCACGGTTGTCTGGCATTGCCACCAGAGCAGCCCAGGATGAATTCAGACAGTTACAGATGCACCACGCTATTTTTAGCCTTTTTTACCCAGCTTTCCCCTTGAAAATATGCAGCCAACTATTAAGAAGCCACGGTGTCAACTGAAGAAGTTAGGCTAATTTGCAGACGTAACCAGCAGCAGCCTGTGGTGCCTGCCTGGCCACTCCTTGGAGGAACCTGGTCCAAAGGCAGAATCAAAAAGCTCCATAAGCAAAAACCTTCTGAAGGTTGGATTTTGCCAAAGGCAGGCTGAAGGCTCAGGAGAGGGGCAATAGATGACATTTGAGGGTCTGTGGTATATGGCACTGGATGGTCCAACATCTCCTTTCACCAATGAACTCTTCAGTGCTATAAATACAAACTAACCCTCTTGTGTTCCCATCCCTCTCCTTTCCACCATGTCCTACAGCTCTGCATCCCCTACAAGAACAGATTCAGCCAGCTTACCCAAGCTGCTCATTCATTTTTTGCAGAGCTCCTCTTTACAAAGGGCTTGATCAAATATAATTTGCAATGGAGAATCAAAGCAGAAGAGGTTTGGAAACTGCCTCCACGTTCAGCTGGAAAGACTGTCTGACAATGAAGCATTTGCCTGATTTACATCAGGGTAAAACCCATATTTCATAGAACCATTGAATGGTCTAAGTTGGAAGGGATCTTAAAGATCATCTAGTTCCAGCCCCCCTGCCATCAGCAGGGACACCTTCCACTAGACCAGGTTGCTCAAAGCCTCATCCAACCTGGCCTTCCAGGGAGGAGCAGCCACAGCTTCTCTGGGCAACTTGTTCCAGTGTCTCACCACCCTCATAGTGAAGAATTTCTTCCTCAGATCTCATCTAAACCCACCCTCTTCCAGTTTAAAGCCAACATCCCTTGTTCTATTACTACCCAACCTTCTAAAAAGTCCCTCCCCAGCCTTCCTTTGTCACTTCTGACCAAAGAAAATGAAATTAAGGTAGTTGTGACAGATCATATTCATTGCAAGTCTAAATCAGAGTCTGACACTTTCCTCATAGGGAAGAGTCTGACCTCTTGGTGCTCTGTGTAGGGATCTCACAGCATCCTCAGCTTACAACCCTAAAAACAACTCACGTGAAAGGAGAGGGGATGTTCAGTGAGGACAAAGATCTGGAAAAAACACACAAAACATTTACTACACAGTAACTCCCACAGCTACTGTGCA